GCGATGCTGGTGGCCCGGGTTCGGATCCCGGGTGCGCATCGAGGCACCACTTCTCCGTTCATCCTGAGGCCGAGTCCCACATACAGCAACTACAAGGATGTGCAGCTACGACATACAACTATCCGCTGGGGCTTTGGGGGGAAAAAATAAAATAAATAAAATCTTTAAAAAAAAAAAAAAGAAATCACATGGCATATTATTCCCTTAAAAGTTAAAATTCCACGCTGAACTCATTATCTTCTCCTACAAATCTGTTTTTTTCATGTTCTTTTTTAATTTTTTTTTTTAATTAATGACAATATCAGCCTCCTACTTCCCCAGGTTTAAAACCACCGTCAGCTTTCACTAATCTCTCCCCTTGCCTGCTTTCGTCTAATTATTTGCAAAGTCCCCTTGATTCTAGGGACACAATATAAGCAAAGTAGATTTTTCTCAGACTCTGGGATTTCACAGACCAGAAAATTTTCAAAAGAACTGTGAGGATACAGAGTCTTCCCCCACCTTTTTTTTTGCCAAGTAATTAAGCCCAGAGAAATATTAGGTTGGAGCATCTGAATTTGCCATTTTGAAAGTCAAGAAATAGTTGATATCAGTGATTTCAGAGGGTTCAACCTATTAAGGTCCTCTCGTCCCACTACCGCCACACAGTGTCACCGTAATGTCACCCAGGAAGAGCCACCGTAACACTAAGAACTTAGGTGGGCGCAGTCCTTTAAACTGAACAGATTTAGCTTTATGAAGAACTCCACGGGGTTATTATTTTTCTCATTTCCTCAGATCAGTGGAAACCGTCAGGGACCCAGACGGTCTGATCAGTGACGCGTTAGTGTCGTCTGCACAGAGGAGAAAGCCTGGACTTCGGAGTCTGACAGCCGTTCATGTCCTGGTTTTTCCACCTGGCGGTTATGTGCTCTCCCACAAACTAGACTTCTCTAAACTTCACTTCGTTGTGGGTCGAGCCCAACTGTCTCTTGGAGAGGCAGCTGGCACGATCAGGCACGCAGGTCACACACACACAGCTCTGAATCCGTCCGTGGCATTTACTGCCCTAGGCCTCAGGGCGAGCTGGTCACCTTCTGGAACGTTCAGGTCCCTCGTCTGCGAAGTGGAGGAATGAGGCCTTCATTACCGGGAGGACGGAGACAGCACACTCAGTGCCGTTCCTAACGAGGAGTAAGGGCTCCGTAAATGGTAGACGGCATTGTTGTTATTACTACTACTGCTTTGTCAGGATAAATGAGACAACATTTTAAAGTGCCTGGTGCAGCAATGGTCTCCTGTCTTACAGAGACGTCTAAAACTCAACAGACAGAAGGACCGAGCGAGAATAATGGCAGCTCACGCACTCGTAGTATTTACTAGGCACTCCAGAAGGCACGGTTCTGTGTATTAATTCATCTCTTGTGTGAGATCGAGCCTATCGTTATCCTCATTTTACAGATAAGGAAACCGAGGCACAGAGACACTCAGGTGTCCCAGCCAGGATCTGAAGCCCACTTTAAATAAGTGGTCTTAGTGTCCTGAGGGAAAGTTACGGTGGGGCTCTTGCTAATGTGATCTCACCTGATCCAGGTGGGAGTCAGGCTGGGGCTGATCCAGGCAATGGTGGTCTTTTTCTAGAGTCATCAAAGGCTACCAAGTGGAAGTCCAAGGACGAAAGTCAACAGTAGACAACTTATGTTTGTTTGTTGTGTGTGTGACAGGCATGTTTTAAAAATTGTTGAATTTGCATACTCTTGACTTTGGCTTCTTTTAGGCTGAGCAGCTCTCTCCAGTTTGCTGTCTTATACTCATCTCGGATTGGCTACCTTAGGGCCTGACCCCTGTGAGTCCATCATCCTGATAGCTCTTTTCTGGGCTCCACCTTGTTTTAATCAGGATTCTCTGGGTTGCCGGTGATAAAACCTCAACCTGACCTTTAGACAAAGGGGAAACTTACTGAGAGGCTGCAGGTCCCCCTTACATCGCTGCAGGAAGGCAGGTCGATAGCCTCCGGGGCAGTGGGAACTAGGGGCTGGGTGCCTTGGAGATGTCTCTGCTGTCTTTCTGACTCTCCTGCAGACTCGCTTCCTCCGTGTGGTGGGAGCACGGTCGCCAAAGCCCTGAGCCTCCCTCCAGAAGGGCTGACGCTCTGCCCCTGGCTCCACTTTGGAAAATCTGCAGGATGCTCTTGTGTGGTGCAGGTGTCCACCCATGGACCAGTTACTGTGGCCAGACAGCCAGGGCCTGTTGATTACCCAGGTTTGGGACAGAAGTCACCCAGCTTTGGTGACTATAAACTGGGTGTCGCTCCCATTATTATCTACTATATAGAACATTCCCAGTGTTGCCTTGTATGTCCACCCATCAGAAGCCACTTCTCTTGATCAGAGTAATTGGCCAGGCCCACAAAGCGTTTTCTCTCAGGAGCTCATCTTCTGTACTGAGGATAACATGGTGCACACAGAATGTCATATCTGTTTGCTGATGAGACGAGCTGATCTTTCCACAGTCTTCCTGTTTAGGGCTCCCCTGTGGAAAGTCAGCACCTTAGAAGGTCCCAGAACCTCAGCTTTGACGGCACTGAGAGCTCCCTTGGTGCAGTAGTTGGGAGAAAAGCAAGTTCTAAATTTATGTTTAAACACAAAACACGGAGGAAAGTGGCTCACCCGAGGCCCCCGCAGTGGCTAGTTCCGTGACACGTTTTCCCGCCCAAGCTCAGAATCAGCAGGTGTGGCTTGTTCTGACCCAGCGTGGGGAGCTGACCCCTAGGACCCCGCGTGCGTCTTGGGAAGAGGGGAGCAGCACATCCCTTTCCCTGTGGTTTACTCCTTAGTGAGGGCAGGGCCTCTGGAGCAGAATGTGCCTCGGGCAGTCCTGGCCCAGCAACTGCCTCAGCCTCTCTGCGCCTGAGTTGGGCCAGCTCAAGAGCGAGGGCGATGCTGGGACCTGACTTGGGGTCTGCTGTGCGCATCAGCGTCCCCGACCTGTAACATCCCTCCCGCCATCGCTGGCGCCGTCAGTGCTCGGTGAGTGTCATCCGTCGTCATTACTACCACCGCCGGGTATGGCCTGCCCCGTGGCCCAGGGGTTTAGGGTGGTCAGTATAAGAAAGCGGGCCGTGCTGGACCAGATGCTTTTCCGAGCTCTGATTTCCTCATCTCCCCATCCACGTTTTTGAGGACAAATAGGAGAAAGGCAGGAAACTACCCTTCTCAGACACCTGCGCTCCGCCACGCATCCTCCTATGTGTGTCATTCAGTTGTGAGGCAGAGTCTCCCCCTTTGTTCTCTAGCGTCTGTCTCACCAGGTATGCACGTGTCATAAGTGCGGGCCTCTGCTACTCTCTGTCGCTGCTGGCACAGAGGAGACACTCAGCAGGCATGTGCTGCGTTTACCTCTGCTGACAACTAGTTTATTTTATGTCATGTAATCTGTTTAGGAGCAAAGTTTTTAAAAAAAAAAGGCCAGGTTGGGGGTAGTTCTAGGATCTTTCTCCCATGTGGGAGAAATTAGAGAGAGTCTAAATCTAAATGAGAGAGAGTTCTGATCCTAGAACATAAGTTGCAAGTAGGCAGCTAAGGGTAGTGACAGTCATCCAGGGACCTAGGCTGCAGTCCAGAAATTGGTGGTGGGGTAAGGCTCTCAGGTTGTAAACCAATAGGGAATTGACGAGGCAGGATGAGATTGTAACCTAATCTATTAATAATGAACGGCTGGTCATAACCTGATCATTATCTGTTGTATTATTACAAATCGGTAGGAAGCCTGTTGAAGAAGCCTGTGTCAGTGTGCCCAGAAAGAAACTGGGGTGGGGGCAGGGGGTGTCAGATAGTACTCCAGCATCCCCCAGGGGAGTAAGTGTCCTGTCCAAGAGATTGTTTCCACCGACCCTATAGTGCAGTCAGGAATATGGGTTATCTCAGCCCAATTCCATTTACTATCATCATTAGCATCTCTATTAAATATTTGTTATTTTCCAGATACCATGCTAAGTGCTTTTCATGTATTACACATCCCTATAGCGTAACTACTCTTATTTTTTCACATTTTATAGATGAGGAAACTGAGGCTTGGAGGTGTCAGATAACTGCTCAGGGTTGCAGAACTCTTAGATCTAGGAACTAGGGTCACAAACTCCCAACACCTCACTAGATGAGTCACCCCTCTCCTCTCATCTCCAGGTAGCTTACCTTCCTGCCGTCTGTGTCCTAAACCTGCCGCCTGGGTGTCTCAGATGTGTACCAAGGCCAGCATAAGCCCATCCTTTCTCCTGTCCAAGGTGGTGTCCCAGTCCAGATGCAGGAGTGCCTGCCTTAGAGTAGACCGCCAGGTGATGATTCCCCTGTAAATTGCCTGTGAAGGATGGGCTGTGTTTGGCGGCAGACAAACATTCTGGTCAGTTGATTGGTGTCATCATTTATTTCGATGAACCGCCCTTTAGCTAGGCATCAGTTTCCATGTGATTTAGTAGTTTGCTTCTCTCCTAAGTCTGGACTTTGCACCTCACCATGGGATTCAGGACTGATTATCTTTGTATCTCCCAGTGTCTTCAGTGAATGTACTTTTTTGCTTCTAATTGAAAATCTTAAAGGGAAAAAGAGTGCTAGTATCAGGATCTGAGCCCTGAAATGATTTAAAATTCGGTATAAATACAGACATAGGGATTACTGGTGTGACAGAAGAAAAAAAAACTCTGGCTGAAATGACCATCAAAGGATGGTCAAAACCTGAGAGGCTTAAAGCCTGATTGATCTGAAGGGGCCAGAAAAAGCATTTGGAGATGAGAAGCCTGCGTTCATTTCTAGAATTAGTCTAGATGATGGATAGAACTTTTATGCCTGGCGTGTTGGTCATTTTTGTAGTAGACCGAAGCCCCGTTCACTGGTGTCTGACTGCTGAGGTTGGGGAGTCGAGTCTGCGCTGTCGTTAACTGGTCGTGTCTTGTACGTTTCAGGAAGACATCTCCCAGGTGGTCGGTCAAGGAGTGGTGGCAGGTCAGCAGAAGGTGCTGGAGTGCCCAGCTGACGAGGTCCGTGTCTCGCACTCGAGGTTTGCTCTGCTGGGATGGTGTGCGTTACAGATGGGTTCCAGGAGGGCAGGGGTGATTGCAGTGAAATCAGACTCTCTGTTACTTGGCGGGAGGTTATGGTGTGTCTTGAACCTGAAGTCAGCCCACACGGTGTCACTGATCCTGGGCAAGAGTGAGAAAATGTCCTCGGTCATCTTCCTGTGCTGGTACCCTAAGCAGTGTCTCAGGTCGGGCATCCCAAAAACACACTTGCCCTTCAATTCTGAGAGTGCTGTGCCTTACAGGATGTCATACATAAAGATTCTAAATGGGAGAATTTGTAGTTCCATAAACATGTAAATGCAATAACTTTAATGTTCCTTGCATTTTGAGTTTCACTTGTCTTAAAAAATTATAAACTTCTGTCTGTCAAATTTTTGTACTTGTTGCTGTTGAGGTTTTTTTTTTTTTAAAGATTTTATTTATTTTATTTTTTCCCCCCAAAGCCCCAGTGGATAGTTGTATGTCATAGCTGCACATCCTTCTAGTTGCTGTATGCGGGACTCGGCCTCAGGATGAACGGAGAAGTGGTGCCTCGATGCGCACCCGGGATCCGAACCCGGGCCACCAGCATCTCAGCGCGCGCACTTAACCACCAAGCCACAGGGCCAGCCCGCTGTTGAGGTTTTTTTTGAAGTCCTGATTCTCATTTCTATGTACTAGTTTATACTTTTGTGCTGCTAAAATTTTATTATTCTATTAACTATTTTTATGTTTAAGGAACTGTAGATTATGGAGCTCACAGGAAATATGTGATATTTCAAACATTGCCAAAAAAAATGCCTTTGAAAAGTCGCCAAAATAATATGCTAAATAAAGTAGGTGTAGGAAGAACCTTAAAAATAACAAATTCAGTTAACTGAAAACCTGTAAGCAATTATTTTTTTAAACTTAAAACAAGATTTTTTTGCTTTATGTAATGTATTTGCAAATACTATTAGTGGGTTAGTACTTTATATCCTGCTACCTATCTCAAGTAACACATCAAGCATCTCTAAAATTTTATAACCGTAGAATTTTCAAGCAGGGGCAAATCCTAAACATCATCTGGCCTTTCTTTTCCTGCTGAAAAATGAGCACTTATATATCTAAAGCATTCTCCTGTGGGAAAGTGCATATAACCCTTCTCTGTGGCTGCAGAAGAGAAACAGCCCAGAGATCAATAGGCAACCTCTGCAGTGAAGCTGTGTCAGCTCAGAACTTTCCAGAATGGAAAAGTCTGCGCTGTTCCAGAATGAGATGAGCTTCCTGTGGACATGGAGTTTTCCATCCCTGAAGGTTCTCACTCAGGAGCTGGCCGATCCTTTATGAATATGTTCTCAAGGGACATAAAACATTAATAGCTGTTATTAATTGAACTCCTCGGTTGTTCCTGGCACAGTGATAGGCTTGTTGATGTGCTTTTCCCTCTAATATTCACAACACCCTTGCAAGGTACAGAGGTACCGCCACCGAGTTACAGACGAGGACGTTGAGGTGTGAGGGGGTGAAGTGACTTGCCTGTGGTCACACAGCTCCTTGGTGGCAGCAAACTCAGCAATTCATACCTTCTTTTGGGTAGTGGTTTTTTTCCTGTCATGAAGACCTGATGAGGTGTAGACCTTTTCCCAGAAGAACGCTAAGTATGATTTTGATATAACCACAAAGATTTTATAGTTCCCAGAATTCCCTCTGTGAATCTCATGGAAACTCATTTACCGTGGATTAAGAATCCATGGCTTGGGGCTGGCCTGGTGGCGTAGCGGTTAAGTGCACGCACTCTGCTGCTGGCAGCCCGGGTTAGGATCCCCGGCGCACATCGATGCACTGCTTGTCAGGCCATGCTGTGCCGGCATCCCATATAAAGTGGAGGAAGATGGGCATGGATGTTAGCCCAGGGCCAGTCTTCCTCAGCAAAAAGAGGAGGATTGGCATGGATGTTAACTCGGGGCTGATCTTCCTCACAAAGAAAAAAAGAATCCATGGCTTAACTTTAAGAAATGTCTCAATTACAAAAAAAAAAAAACACTTGCCTGGGCTTTACACCCCTAGATGCCAATTTATTTGGTCTAGGTTGGAGGTCCCAGCATCCATAAATTTTAAAGGCTCTCCAGCAGTTCCTGTTGTGAAGACAGGGTTGAGACCCACTGGATGAGTTAGGTTGGATGACCTGTGATGTCCAATCTGCTCTCATATGAATATAGTACATTCAACAGCATGTCCAGTCTTTCTGGTCTTTCGTTCTCAGTAGTTTGGTTTTGTGCCAGTGGATGAGTCACAGGAGCATGTGCCTCTGTCACCGCACCTGCCAAAAAGAGGTCTGCTTCTAAGTGTGTGTTTGGATGTCTCACTTGGTTTCTGTGGACCGTTTCCTTATTTTTTCATTGAGCTCAATGCTACCAATATCTGTTGGAAACCTCTCATGCACAGTGGAATGGGATGCTGCATGGAACTGGATATAAAGATGGGCAACCAACATTCCCTGCTACTATAGAAGTCATAATGTAGTGAGTGCTGTCTCTTGTGCTTTCCTGTTTTTTTGTTTGTTTGTTTGTTTTAAGATTTTATTTATTTTATTTTTTCCCCCCAAAGCCCCAGTAGATAGTTGTATGTCACAGCTGC